TGTTTAATGACAGCAAAACTATACCAAAACATTGGTTTACAAACTTTCACACTACTCCTGCAGTATAATCCAAGTCTCATTTATCCAATGGTATATTCAGTACTTCCCAAACATGCATTTTGGCTAAAACTCTATTGTATTTTATTTTATTACTGAGCTAAGATTGAAACCTATCTATGCTCTCTTCAAAGCCGGACTCTATTGACAAAAGCAGTAATATTACCTCGCAAAACACAGGAGCTGATGGTCTACCACTGCCCTGATCAATTAGTTTGTTTGTGTTGTGACTTTAATGTTTTAAAGAGTCGGTTTGGTTAGGCCAAAGTCAAACAATAACACAACAAACTAAATTACTGTGGCAGTGGTAGACCAGCAGCTCGTGTGTTTAGCAATGTAAAAATACTGTTTTTGTCTATGGAGTGTGGCTTTGGGGAGAGTTTAGATAAGTTTCACATTCAGTAGAGTTCCCTGTTGTCTGATGGCAAGGTAATGTAATGTGTTTAGGATGTACTTACTGTACAACTGGATAAATGAGACTTGGATCATTCTGCACAAGTTTGTTGTAAAACGCGGACCTCTATGACTGCAATTCATCAAGACTATTCTCCTTTTTTGGATTCTCTGCTCCCCATGGAGGCATTAAGAAAAAAGTTTCCTTCAGAAATTAAACATAACACAGGGTGAGTAATTGATATACAAATGGTCATTTGGAGGGTGATGTATAACTTAAACTCTCCCAACCCTTTGTTTGCTCAAAATGTTCAAATCTAAGACTCAGTGCTTCCTCTATGACCTTTTACACGGAATAGGTAACACATTGATTTCAGCTTTTACCTCAGCTTTGACTTCAACACAACTCTGCTGTTTGATTTTTGGTTTATCTGAGGACACACACACACACACACACACACACACACACAGCACTTGTACACACACCTCCTTCAAACTTTTCCTCAAACCCTCCTGAGCTACCCGTTAATCAATAATTCTTCTTTTTAACTCCTCTCTCTTTAAGCCCAGCACAAACCCTTTCCTGCTGCTGAAGTCTTCCAAATCACTTCATTCACCCATCCCTTTCCACACACAGGGAAGCCGCCCCTCACCCTCTCTCCCAGGATGATTCTAGTCCATTCCCATTGAGCTGCATTAGCATACAGATGTTCGACTGAAAAGGGAAAGCAGGGTAACACAAAGGGCCTGCATGACCAGGAGGGGAGGGAGGGGTCGAGGGGCTGCACAGAGATGGCCCTTGGCCTCTTTAGGGTCTTACAGACATACATACACACACACACACACACACACACACACACACACACACACACACATATCCATGGGTATTGAATGGTAAGTAGCCATGGGGGTTGTGGGAGTCTGCTCCTGCTTCACTCCACTGTTATTCATTCACTAGAGGGAAATCCTCAGCCTGCCCACAGCTGAATGCCAACACACACACACACACACACACACACTCACACGCACGCACAGAGTCCCAACTGCCTGTTTTGCCGTTGAGACAGAATGCACACATATACATGAACCTTCTCTAACACATAACACAAACAGTACTGCAGATGTTTTCATGTCCAGAACGATATTCTTTTTTACAATATAAAATTACCAGTAAAAGCTGAAATCATGGGTAAAATAAAACATTTTTTTATTTTTTAGCTGATTTTCTGTTGGATTTAATTGCTGTTTAAAGGGTCTTTAAGTCTTCATAAGCTTGAAAAGTTTTTGTCACATGCAGCAAACATCTCCTCACAATCTACAAGCTACATGTCCTCTGAATATGCTGTTGGCAGCCCAGGCTCCACAAATGGCAACAAAAACACTTCACTTCTGTTTACGTTCAACAATGTTATCAAACACAATGGAGCTAGCTTGCCTTTTAGCCTCATTGTAGCCTGTAGCTTTAACTGCCTCTCTGGGCACCGCATTCATGTGTGTGCGCTTGCACGAGACCGTGAGACATGGGCACCGCATTCATGTGTGTGTGCTTGCTTTCGCTGGTCTCGTGCTGGCTGGTTGGTGCAGCCTGGACCAAAATGTTTTTGTTGCCATTTGAGGAGCCTGGGCTGCCTACAGAGACCAGACTTTTTCACAGCATATTCAGAGGACGGATTGTGCGGATCGTTTGCTGTATGTGACAAAAACTTTTCAAGCTTAGGAAGACTTTAATGTCAGTGCTTGTATTTGAAGTCCTGTCAGGTGATTTGGGAGTGACAGCAGGTTTCAGTCTGATTTCAGTTAAATTTTGAGGTTTTTGTAATTAAGTTAAATTTTACATCTACATCTCAAACAGGCGTATAGTATTATTGACTCCATTATATCTATCTGACAGGATCTGCCATAAAAACATAAATTACAATGTGTTGATGTTTATTCAACTTGCCAACAGTAAAATTTGCTGCCATTAGCTGCAGAAGAAAATGTTGGCATTATAGGTTTCTGCAAACCACAAATACTTATTTCATACCTATCATATGAACTCACGTTGCATGTTGTGACTTTGTCATTGGGAGGTGGAGGGGAGGATGGTGGACAATGTGACACTGGTGGACGTCTGTCAAGCTGCAGTTTACTGTTCAAGACCAACAAACAACAAAACAAGTTTTTTTTAGTGAGTTTTTGCTGCATTTCCAACAGCTTTTAGCCCCCAAACGGACATGCTTTGTAGCGACCCATGGCTGTTTTTCTGGTGTCTTTTTAGCCCCGAAATGTGGGTGGTTTTTCAAGATATTGCTGATATTGTAACCCTAAACACGGTCTTTCCCTAACCAGCACCAAGTGTTTTTTGTGCCTTAACCTAATCATATGTTTACCACAGTTTTGTTAAAACATGAAGTTTCAACATTATGCTTCATAATGACGCATAAATGTAATGCCTCCACAGAAATGTACAATGCCAACTGTTTTTCTAGTGACTGGGTTGCCACTATAGTTATAAAAATATGATCAGATTTTAAAATACAATGTGTTGCTGTAGATTATAACTGTCAGACAGTATATAAAATTAGCTCCACCTGCACCAGCTACAACAGTAAAATTGTGTTTACAGCTAACAGAGAAACACAGAAACACACACACACACACACACATGCATAGGGGTGGACGTCAACTTCTGCTCCACTTTGTGTGAATAGATGGAAATCAGTCACAAGTATCTCCATGCCTCATTGTGTGCTGGGAAGTCTTTGTTCGAGCATCTGTTGCCCAAACATTCTCCTCAGTGTCACTCACTCTAAATTGGTCTGTTCAGACGAGTTGCAACAAAACTCACTTCTCTTCCCACACAACACACACACATAAACACACACTGAGGGGAGGGCTGGGAGATTCCCTAAACGCAAGTAAGAGAAAGAGTTAATCTTTGTTCCTTTTGTGCGTCAATGAGACACAGATGATTGTAAAGGCTCTAGAAGCAGTGGCAGCGTTTTGAAGTGATGCTCGTGGGAACGCTTTGCCCAAAATGAACATTTGTGTTATTCCATCATGTTAACCACAAAGGTTTCCCAACTTTTACACAAAGAATCTAACTCACACCAGTTATATAAGAGTGAACTTATCAAGTCCAAAGACAAATTAAGTTTACATTGAAATCAGTTACTACGAAGAAACACTACATCCCACACCTCTCATGTTCATGCATCCTGTCATACTCTGAAAATACTTCTAACTATATCATACAACGAGACTGTACCTTCTCTGCAGAAGGTGTAAGTGCTCATGAGACATAATCTTGCAGAAAACTGAATAAAAATGTAAGAGGTAAGTAAGTTTTTGTAGAGATGAGAGAGAGTAGACGGGGATAATGTGTAACAGGTTATGCTTAAGCATGAACAGGGCGATGTGAGAACACTCCTGTAGACACTGTGTGGTTGATAGGGATCACAATTAATGTGAGAGCAGAGTGAAAGAGCTAAATGTCAGTACAGTATTTTTCTTGATTGCTAAGACATGCTTGATGATAATGGGATCAACTTGATCTTCATCATCACCTTGTCAGCACAGCAGAGGTCCTCTCTTGTAAATGTGTCAACACTTTTTCATCAGTTTTACACATTTTTCATCCTTTCTAAAACAGTAAACACAGATCTCATAGAAAGACCCAAAATTCTTTTAGATAAACTGTTAAACAAAAGACTACTAAATATCTACTGCACTTGTGTGAAACTCCTTTGCAAAACCCTTCATTCAGCAAGCAGTCCGTATGCATCTATAAAATATCATCTCTATGTTTCCATTTGCAAACATGGATCAAAAAGACCAAAGGCATGTAAGGAAAGAAAGAGGCCATGGCACTGGGGAACTGAGTCTTCAGTATTTTTGAGTTTGAAAAGTATGGAAACACGACATGGTCAAAACATCCATTGCTATTGCGGTCCAGGTACAAAAGCTGAATGGATGTTCCAGTTCATCTGGTCCTAGTGCTAACTGTAGGTCCTACGTGACAACGACAATTGATGGGCATGGAAAGACCGCCATACAAGAATAATAAGATGACAGTATTTCAACATCTTTCAAAAACTAAGGTTTAACAGGTTCAAGTTGACAGCTGTATTTTGTATTTTGATGTCTATTACCTAATGATTGGTTAAAAAAGAAGTTGTGTTGATTAATCAAAATATTTGCTCTTGTTGGACATTTTTAATGTTGTGTGAGTGTGAGAGCATCTTGCAACTAAAATGTGTCATTTTCAGCAGTGACTCTAAGTTTCAGCATGAGTGCAAACTGTTTTGAAAATGTAACTTCTGAATGGACAATTCAAAAAAAGTCTGGGATTTTATTCTTTTGTATATTTAGCTTCATGCTGTTTTACTCAACTTTTATTCTTTTTTTTACTATAGGCTAAGCTAATCATGATAAAAATAATTAAAAAAATAATTTGTTGGAAAATACCTTAAATTCTTAAACATCCTTAATTTGATCAAATCACAGACTTCATGTGCGCTAAAAATGACTCAAAAGTGCTAGATACAAGACAGTTTATTTCTGAAAGACTTTTATTTTGAAATAAAATGGGACAAATATATTAAGATAAAGAGCTAGGATATCAACATAACCCATGGAATGTAAACAATAAATGTACTTAAATTATGTAGAACACAACATCAAACAACACAATATATGTTTCGCTTTGAAAAACAAAATAAATAAGACTTTAAGTTAACAAAAGTTTCAAAAACGGCTTGCTGCCAGGTCAAGCTCATGGTAAGCAACAGCAACAAGAAACGTCTCTGGACTCTCTCTGGGCAGGTAGAGTCGATTTCATGACAAAAGCAAACAAAAAAATCTTGCCTGATTTTAGTTGAACTCACTTGATTTTACCTGCCCCTCAGAGCGTTAGCTAGCTAGCTAGCGTGCAACAGAGGTCGACCTACAAACACATTGTCATCAAGGCAACTCTGATAGATAAACATCAACTATAAACGAAGGTCACCTTTTCACCTGTTTGTTTACACCACAAGAGAAGATAACACACAGGATTTTAAAAAGGCAGGAATTTCCACACACTATGACCACAATGCAGTAATACAGCAGGCCTGAGAGACACTCATAGAAATAACACATGCACATTTATCTGTCTTTTGATAGCTGTGTAGCTGCCAAACTAATGGTCAAAGTAAGCCCACACTTTGATTTACCACTGCTGACTCACACTGAGGCTGTGAATGTGTGGTGAACCCCTCTTTCACCACCGCCTTGTTTTGTGTTTCGACAACAGCACAAATAAAAAAATGTTATTACAGTCAGAGTTGTGAGGCTTAGTGGAGAGGAGAGCAGACTCACTGTATGCTCACACCAACAGCACTAAGCATTTCTCATGCTCTGATTGAGGAGGCAGAGCATAGTCAGTAGGCATCTCTAGTTAAAGAAAGAAACCACTAACACATCAAGGTGCTTTTGATGAAAAAGCTCAGTGAGTCTTGATTTCTGCCAGGCCTTTAGCCAATAAGGCAACATACATATAGAATGCCAAAATATTTTTCTTCCTCCTTTCCTCTCCTCTCCACGAGCCTCCTTAAAGCTACTGGATAGCGTAAACCAAGCAGATGGACATCATGGATGCATAAGTAAAGCATAATTTCTCTGGTTTTATAAAAAAAAAAAAGCATAAATCACAAACTCAACAACTTATACAAAAAGCAATAAATAAGTCTACAAAAGTGTTAAGCTATAATAACAATAATCATAACACTGTATTTACCTGTCATGGTTAAAGGCTAGGCTAGGTGTTAACAGTACTAGCAGGTTAGGGGAACGCTAACATCAACTTTGGTAACTAGAGAGAGTCAGTGGGTTGCCTACACTTGTGCTATTTTTGTTGCTATGGCAGTTTAGCCAAATCTATGCCAGGCAGTTAAAATGGCTGACAAATACAATCAAATGGCTACAGCCATACAACCAAGCCATGAATCAATCAGTGACAGCATATAGTTATTTCACCTTGTGGACAAGAGGTTTCATACAGTGGGAGAGCCCTAATATGACTGGAGAAGTGCTGCAGGCTGGCATCACTATTAACAGTTTGTAAGGAGGAAATTAAGATCTGTGAAAAAAGCAACATTGCTATATTAGCAAAGTGGATAGCACACCAGTCATACATAGGACAAACAGCATTCATCTTAAAATCCTTAAATCAGGGTACAGGAAATTCTCACACAGAACTTCCACTGAGTAGGAATAGCATATTGGCAAATGCTACATGAAGTACCCTCAAAGTATTCTCTAAAAATGGGTATACAACAGTATACATCAGTAACAATGACATAGAAGAACAACCTTACAAAAATAACAATAAAACAAAAAAAGAAGTCAGCTAAAACTGGACAAACACTGAGCAGCGCTACAACTGCTTGGATGAGAAATGCAATATGCACAAAGTTAGGTACGTTTACCTGGCTGGATTTAGGGAGGCACTGAAGCCCTAATGTTTTCTTCCTTTGTGACTTAGATTTTAACCATAATTGTGATAATCAAGTTTCTGCTTTATTCACATCCTATATCGTGCTGCAGTTTTGTTTTTGGAATTGGGACACAAAATCAAACATCAAATCCTCGTCACATTGAGTTTAACAGTTAGTGCATCTATCCCCGATTAAATTCAGCCCTATAGTAAAACCCTTCCCTACTCGTCTGTAACAGAGAGCCGGCTGAAGATGGGAAGGCGTCTGCCCTCAAAGCTCGGTGACTCTGTGCCGCTGGAGGAAGAGCTGAGGGAGCAGGAAGAGGTGTAGCCTTCCTCAGAGAGGGAGTCAGCTGAAGAGCAGCGCTGAAGGCCAGGGAGGCTGCTCAGGGAGGTTGGCAGCTGCTGGGGGAGGTGGTAAGGGAGGTTTGGATTTTTGGAGGGGAAAGTGGAGGGTGGACACCTGGCGCTGACAGAGTCGGTCACAGCATAGAATCGCAGAGCTGAATCACTGCTGTCTCCTGGTAGGTCACTGATGCCAGAGAAGGGGTAGGGACAATGCTTCAGGGTCCCTGGCTCAGGGAAGAGAGGGGAGAGGAGCTCAGGGCTCTCTGTGGAGGATGGAGGAGGGGATACAGAGGAAGCCCGGGTGAAGAGGAGGGAGGAAGGCTGCGACTCCTCAACTGGTTGGAAAGTTTGTGGAGTGGAGGAGAAGCCTGCAAAGCTGAGGCTGTGACGCAGCAGAGGAGGCCTCATCTTCTGTTTCTGTGGAGGTACGCTGGCATTGCCAGCAAGGAGCTCATCAGCGTTGTGGATGAAGTGGCAGCGGGCACCGTACGGACAGAAGCCTATCGTGTGGAAAGTGCGGCATGGCTCCGTCTTGTACTTGGGGTGCCTGCTGAGGCCTCTCAGCTCTTCAATTCCGTGGGCGAACTGGCACTTGGCACCGTACTTGCAGGTCCCGCTTTCTTCAAAGGTGCGGCAGAGTTCGGTCTTGTACCGAGTAGAGATGTGAGGTGAGGGAGCAGGGGGTCTGGAGGCAGACGGGGAAGCAATGGAGGAGAGAGAGGTGTTAATGCAGAAGCCTGGTGGAGGGAGCAGCACTTTTGGGGACATGTTAGCCATTTTATCCTCTCTGCCTCCCAGGCTGCTGACGTTGCCCTCGATCATGCTGACTGACCGATCAACTCTGAAGGGGATGTGGCTGAGCGAGGAGCGGGGAAGCTGACTTTCCCTACTCCACTGCTGGTTGTTGAGCCCCCAGCCTACTGGGTCAGTCACCTCAGAGCTGCTGCTGTTGAACTTGGAGTTGGGGAGGGTCACAGGGCAGAGAGAATGGCGACGCTGGAAGCCCAGGACTCTTTGACTGTGCTGCTGCTGTTGCGGCAGTGAACCAGTAGCCGAGCCACCTGTCACCTCCAGGCCTTGGAAATTCTGTCACACAAAAGGAGAGAGGAGAAGAATAGATGTGAGCTTTCTGCATTCCTGGAGCACTGGAGCGACACTGGCAGAGTCGTGTTGAAAGGAGATTTAAAAGCTGCAGCTGAAGCAACCGCAGTAATTTACCTTAAAAGTTGGACTATGTTTTATCTTTTAAGTGTACTAAATAAGGCCTTGGACCTAAACACGTTCATTTTCAGTTTATTGAATAAAAAAAATAGATATATGTTTGTGCTGAATCTGGGCTTAACTGTTTTGCAAACTAGCAGTGGGATGCACAAAGACAAAAAAACTGTATTTTATCATGCTTTAGTTTAAGCCACGATACTTTTACATGTAAAAATACCTTGCAGATTATAAAAGAATCTTGTCAGAACACGTGCTATATTGCAATAAATATTATTATTTGAACAAAAATGGGTTTTTTTTACCTAAAAACCAAACATGTGAAACTATAAGACTATTCTTGCAGTTTTAACATTATTGTTAGGCTTATTGAAACAAACTTCCAAGCCTTTTTAGATGAAATTTACAGACTCATAACAATCTAGATTTTTCTAAAACACACTGAAATAAATTACTAATGAGGCCATATCTGTAAATGAAGTTAGGATACATTAAAAAAAAAAGTAAAATAAATTTGTCTTTGGTTGCACTCACCTTGAAGAACTCCTCATCCAGTTCCAGGAAAGGCGTTAGAAAGTCGGAGGGCATAGTTTGTTCCACTGTCCTCGCTGAGTGAATGAGCTGGGTGTCTGATCCCACAGTGGAGGAAGGCTGGGGAGGACAGAGTGTTTCTGGGTCTGAAGTGAAGGAAGACGGCTGGTGTGTGGGGAGCTGAAGTGGTGGAGAAAAGGGTTGAGGGCTTAAAGAGTTTCAGTTTGGCCCTCTGAAGAGGGAAGAGAAGCTGCTTGTCCCAGGAGTTGAAAGAGGGGTTTTTTGGGAGGGAAGGGGAGAGGAATCAAGTCTGGTCCGTTGAGAAGGAGACAGGGAGTTGGGAGAAAGAGCAACGTGACCCTCGGAGGAAAGTTCCTCGACCATCTGTTGGAATCTGCTTAAATAGTTGGGGAAACCCACCCATACACACCCACCCCCTGCCTGTGTTCGTCAGGGGGCAGGGCAGGGAGTTTGTGTGTGTGTATGTGTTAATGTGTGTTAATATGTGTGTGTGTTGGGGGGGATGGGGACCTGCATTGTAATGGTGTGCTGGGGGGCAGGGTGGGCACAGAAAGGAGAGGAGGGAGCTGAATGAAGCTACTTTTCTACCCATTCATTACCAAATCCTTAAAGATGCATTCTTCTTTTTTTAAAGTGGCCGTCCCCTCACTTTGTTTAGGGATCGATACAGCTGAGGAGATAATGACGAGTGTTGCAAACACCAAACATATTTACTGTCATTAGTGAGGTAAAAATGCGGCAAAGTTGTTAAAAACTATTTAAAAGTCTATTTGATAAATAAAAACTGTTTTTAATATCTCTTAGTATATGTTTGGTTTTCAGGGACAATCAACCCTGATCAAGACGATCAAGCTGAAAGTGAGGGAAATAATCACAATATATGGGGCAAGAATTGTGCAACATGATTTTTCCTTTTAATAGATACGTTCACAGGGGACTTGTCCCCCTCAGCATTTAAAACATGCATTTGTCCCCCCAAGTAAAAACATAAAATAGCAGACGACTGTTACGTTGACAAAATTAAGGACATTTACACCATAAACTGATGCAGAAAAGGCACAAGTCGGTGCATAACAGTTCAGCACAATGCAGGAAATTTGGTCAGAGGATCCCCAAAACCCATGTTTTACATGGAAACTGACAATACAGTTGATTTATACAGGTCCCAAATATCCTTACAGTCATGCAATTTCTGAACTTGCAGAAATTGTTTCTGCACTGAACTTGCTTTAACACCTGCTATAAGATCCAGCCATGTTGTTGGCACTGCATTCAGCTTCTTGATGGAAAAGTTTAATTCCAACATGATATCAACTACTAACAAGCAACCCAGTCGCCTTTTGTCATTTGGAGGTGGAGGGGATTGTGGATATCATGTCATTTATGCAAGATGCCTGCTGAGCTGGATACCACTGTTCAAGACTAACAAGCAACAAACTGATTGTTTTATAGTGCCCTGTCACTGTTTTCTCATCAGCAATAGTGCCATGAAAGAGGAAAGAGCTACAAAAGGCATTTGTTTATTACTGCAACGTCACCATGTTTCCTGCTGGGATATTGCCACAAAAAGCAGGTATAAAACATGATCTTTTCTTAACCATAACTAAGTGTTTTTTATGCCTAAACCTAACTACACATTAACCACATTGTTGTCAAAATGTAAAGAAACATATACCACTGATGCACCAAAATAGTGCATGTGCAAAGGTTTTTTTAACCCTGGGAAAACTAAAATAGACCATGGACTTCTTTTGCTATTGTTAGTAGTTCAGAGCTGTGTACATGGTTTTGTAATTTCCTGGTGTGTCATGTTCGCTGTCACGGATGGGCAGGGAAACAGAATTAGTAAATGGTAACAAAAGCAGCATGGAGGCCATTGAAAATGTAACAGTGGTTACTTGTTTTATATAACCTGAAGTCATCAAATACTACCACTTGGTCATTAAATTTCGCATTAGAAGTTGACAAAAAACAGGCATCCTTTTGGGATGGTACATGATGCCGTCAGATGGTGTCAATTAATGATGCCATTGGACCTCATCAGTTTTGCGTTTTGAAAAAGAATGTTTGCATCTAACGAGCAGAAACTGTACATTGCCTGTGAAAACGAAACTGTATTTTGAAGACACAATGCATATAACAAGCATAAATTGACATGGTGTCCCAGAATGTCAACAACAGACAAACCCAGGATGCCTACCATGTAACATGTAGACATGAAAGTCAGCTGACCAAGGAGTGGTATGTGACGAGCTGGGTTTGTTTTATATTCGTTACTTATTCAGCCTGCGACAGACTCGGTGCAGAGTAAATTGGAACAATGTCCGTGCACTGCTTGGACAAAGACAGACAGTATCTTGGCAGCCTGTTACTGCATATCTCTGGCAAATTGGCTAAAATTAGCACGTTGACCCAGGTGACGTGTTTTCAAACCTTCCAGTCAGAGCCGATCAGAGCTGGAGCCGATAAATACCGGTTTCTACTGCCCAGGTGTGAGTGGCTATGGTAACCTTTCCCATTAAATAAAAAAGCCAGATGTTAATGGATGTTAGTGGGTTTTTTTGTGCACTGGGTAAGGAGCTATAAAGTTTCAGTGTATCCACGGCATAACTTACAAAATTTAATGGATTTGTGATTTGCTGAAACATATAACGCCAATAGTTTTTCTGGCAACTGGGTTGAAATAACAAACAATCTGCGGCACTCAGAAGAGTAATTGTAGTCTCTACATGTCTGTGTCAGATGTGTGCTCCATTGTCATCCCAAAGCCATGTCGATTGGAGTGTGTACATTAGCAGGCATGGTGATCTACCAAGCATATTATGACCAAGTCATAAAAAATCTTTAGAGATTTTGTATGAATTAAAGTGTCACTGCTTTCTCCTTTTCTATTTTACATTGATGGCCTTACATTTACGAGAGATAGGAAAACATCCTGCTATGTGGTTCAGTGGTGATCTAGCCACTCCTTTAGCAGGGAAGGTTTCATCAACACATTACATTGTTGTGTTCAAATGCAAATTGAGGTCAGTAAGAATGGTTTAAAGGTAGCAGAGTGGGAAAGTGTTGACTGTTCCACAGTAACACATGGGACAAAACAAGCTTTTCTGAATGGGATGATGTGGGATTTCCAACTTGGGTCCACGATTGTGCACTCAACCTGACTTTTACAAAAACTTATTGATGACAACACAAACGTGTCACCTGTTGATGGAGACTTGTAGATCTATCAGTAACCAAATCTCAATGTTCTGGATCAGATTGTAGAATGTATACATAAAGTTGTCACTGGCAAGGTTGGGGATTTCTTCAATAAACACCAGATCAGTGTCTGCCATGTTGAACACTATCAAACAACCTTTCAATGATGCTGAAATGCAAAAACCCTGTTAAGTAATGCCACAGACTGAATTACAAAAGTCTATCCCCAATCTAAACCTTGTGCTTGTGCATGGTTACATATGGAGTTTTTCCAGTATTTGCGAGGAGAATGTAAATCTGCTCCATTCTCCCAGTCACTTGGAGAGGCAATCATTGTCTCTATTGATGGCCTCTACACAGAAGATGCATGTCAAGTTCTGTTGTCAGTCCTCTAACCTTGCAAAGGTGTGCTTGTCCATTTGTTACTGTCAAATAACTAAAAAGAAGACATGTCAACCAGTGAAGTCTCAAAAAATAGTGCTTTTCTGGAGTGCTGACTGGTGTTAATGTTGAAAAACAGAACAGAGGAGAACTCTGTCAGCTTCCACCACTGCCTCAGACCAGTCAGTGTGTCTTTTGTGTTAGCAAATGATTGGTGCAGCTGTTTTTATGTGTTTTAAATCTTTGCTATGTTTTGTGCTTGACTGAAAAGATTTGGACAGACAAAAATTGATCAATTCAAAACTTTTTTGGGGGGGTATTAACCTATTTAAAGCATTTTGCATCCATGGTGAGTTCAGGTTCCAACTGTCACTGAGCTCACTGATCACCTTGAGTACACAAAAGCAGTTTGAACCTGTTGTTGTGTATTGTACCACTGACACTTTTACAGTGGGAGCATTGATGCATTTCAAACAGTGTGCATTGTGTCTCTGTATGGACACTGCAGAGACGTTTCAGACGGTGTAAATGGCCCTTTTTACACAAGCTCCTTTTCCACTGCACAAAAACCAGCTAACACCTGCTAACAGCTGGCTTTTTAATGCAATAGGAAAGTTTACAATCAGCATTCACACCCGGGTGAAATTACTCCACAGTAGTCAAAGGTATTTATTGGCTCCAGGTTCAATTGGTATTGATGGAAACACAATACCTGGGTGAATGCGCTTATTTTAGCTACTTTACTGGTGACATGCAATGACGCACCACAAAATACTGTTCATCTCTGCCCAAGTAGCACTCAAACATTGTTCCAAATTAGTCAGCACTGAGTTTGAAAGAGAGACTGAATCAGTAAGAGATACATAAAAAGATGTAGCCATGGTCACATTCTCTACTGTTTACTGACCTGTTTTCTGGCCTGTTTTCTGGCCTGTCCCTGACATCAAACATGACACATCAAAAAAAAAAAAAAAAAACATAGAGAGAAAGACATACTCATCTGCTGCAAAGCCATGTACACAGCTCTAGTCTACTGGCAATTAGAAAGGAGTCTATAGCCTATTTTTAGCGGGTTTACCTGTGTATGAAAAACCTGTGTACACATGCTAATTTTGGTGGAAATGGGGTATAGGGCTGCTACAATGTCACTTCTTCATGCTGCCTTAACATTTTTACACAGAACCAAACAACGGCAGCATCATGCAGCCCCAGTGTGTGATTTTTGACAGCATGCCAGCATTGCCGAATCAAAAGAAGCATAACGAAAGTGACATGTAACACAACTGCACTGGCTGCTGGTGTGACATATCAAATACGCCTCAGCAGTGCTTTATAAACAATAAAATGGCACTGACATAGCAATAACAATCACTCACCTTCCCTGTTGTATGGCGGCTGATCTCGTCCTCTCCTCGGAGTGTAAGGAGCTCCTGGAACTCATTGTTTTCCCAATTTGCGGACATTTTCAGCTGCTGTTCTTCTTTGAATTAGCTGCTAACTGCTACCACCTGGTTGTCACAGTGAATCTCCTGCAGTGGATTGCATGCATAACATGTCCTCCAAATGTCACACCCATGCTCCCCATGATCCCGTCCTGCCAGCTGTCCCATTTATAAAGACATTGTTTGCTGCTGTTGCTATCTCTGATTCTGGAACACAATGATGACTCACTAAATCACAAATGGTTTTGTTGTTTGTTGGTCTTGAACAGTGGTTTGCAGCTTGGCAGGTGTCTCATTTAGGTGTCACACCATCCACCATCCCCTC